GGGTCTCCCAAGGGCGGGGACACACACACGCACCCTGGCACAGACAGTGACATCAGTCTCCGCAGGTGGATGCCCAGATGTCGCAGCTGGTGGGGCTGCTGGAGCTGAGCGAGGACGAGCGCCGCGTACGGCACCTCCTGGTGACGCTCTTCCAGGAGGTCTTCACCGAATTCTTCCCTGGTAAATCTCCTCTTCCCGCCTCACGCAGCCGCCACGTTCCTCACACAATGCGGCCACGTCCCTGCTACACGCCCCTTTGTCTCTCCCCGCCCAGGCTGTGCCGTCATGCCCTTCGGCTCTTCCGTCAACGGTTTTGACACCCGTGGCTGTGATCTAGACTTGCTTCTGGACCTGGAGCCGACCAAATCCCTCCAGGCATCGACACGAGTTGCTCCTGGGGCCGGATCCAGCTCCGGCGCTGAGGATTCCATCCTGAGCGATATCGACCTGGCAGCGATGCCAGCGCCGGAGGTGCTGGAGCTGGTGGCAACAGTGCTGCGGCGCTGTGTGCCGGGTGTACGCCGCGTCCGGGCCGTACCCACCGCCCGCCGCCCCGTCGTCAAGTTCTGCCACAAGCAGTCGGGGCTGGCGGGCGACATCTCCATCGACAACAGGTCTGGGGGTGTGGGACCGGGGGATCTCCCTGTTTCCGGTGATGCATCCTTCTCCTGTGACGCCTCTGTTCCCGCAGGCTGGCGCTCCTCAACACGCGGTTCCTGCAGCTTTGCGCCGAGGCGGACGAGCGCGTGCGGCCATTGGTCTACGCGGTGCGGCTCTGGGCCAAGCAGCAGGGTTTGGCAGGTGAGGGCAGGTGCCAGTGCTCATGGCCGGGTCCTGCCCGGCCCATCGGTGAGCCCCTGGGGCGCAGCTCTGACCCCATCTCCCCTAGGAAACCCCTCTGGGGGTGGACCCCTCGTCAACAACTACGCCCTGACGCTGCTGGTGCTGTTTTTCCTGCAGACGCGCAGCCCCCCCGTGCTGCCTACCGTCGCCCGTTTGCGTGATTTGGCAGGTAGGGTCCTTCCGTCTGTCCTTCTGTCCCCTTTCGCTCGTGGTCCCGCTGTGCCGGTGCTCCTCTGAGGGCAGCTCTGTTTCAGGGGATGAGGACCACGCCGTTGTGGCCGGGTGGGACTGCAGCTTCCCACGGGATGTGGCATCGCTGGAGCCCAGCACCAACACCGAGAGTCCCTGTGAGTGCTGGGCTGGGGGTCCAGAGGGGGTCCCGGAATCCTGGCACTGCTCTCACTGCTCACTCCCACAGGCTCGCTGCTGGCTGAGTTCTTCCACGTTTTTGGGGACTTCGACTTCCCGGGGCAGGTGATCTCACTGCGGGAGGGCCAGGCGCTGCCGCTGCCGCCCCCCACTGCCCCCGAGACCAGCGATGGGTTGAAGCTGGGACCCCTCAACGTGCAGGACCCCTTCGAGCTGAACCACAACGTAGCGGCCAATGTCAATGAGAAGACGGCATTGCGTTTTGGGCGCTGCTGCCGCGACGCAGCCAAGTATTGCCGCAGCTTGCAGTACTGCCACAAATCCAGCAAAGGCCGGGCCTGGGGACTGACGCGGCTCTTCCATCCAGGCGCGGTGGAACCAGGGGCAGCGAGCGCCGGCGCTTTCCTTATCTCTATTCCCTTGGACGGCACCGGCCGCAGCTCCCAACAGCTCTGCCAGGAGCCCGGTGGTCGGGGCCCCTGGTTCTGGGAGGTCTGCGCCGCCATCGCCTTCATCTTGAGAGATGTCCTCAAGTGCAGCTGCGCCATGGGGAAGCTGCCGAGAGCTCCTAGTGAGGAATCCAAGCTCCCAGTGGACTCAGCGCCATCTGAGGAGCTGCCTACGGAATCAGACGCGGAGGAGCCATCGGCAGCAGAGCTGTTGTCAGTGGGCTCCAAGCGTCACCTGCCCAAGGCGACAAATGGCACCACGCTCCCGGCCGAGAAAAGACCGCGGACGAACGTCCCCAAGGAGGCAGCAAACTGGAGCTGCACCGTCTGGCACCGTGTGTGGACGGGCCGACGCCGCGTACGCCGACAGTTGCAGCATGGGGATGGCCCCGAGGGGCCGGATGGCGACTCGCTGGAGCTGGAGCAGAAGGTGTCGGAGGCCATTGTGCAGCAAGAAGGAACCAAGCGGCCACTGCAACCGCTGCTGCGCTTCGAGGCCAGTGCCCGGGCAGCCGGCACGCGTCAGGAGATGCGTGTGCTGCTGCGCCTCGTCCCTTCCCCAGTTCCCCCCAGCCCGCTTTTCCGGGACTTTTTCCACTTCTTGCGGAGTTTTTTGCCTGCCACAGTGCGACGACGCCTGGGCCAGGAGCCTGCGGGGTGCCCAGAACCCCAGGACGGAGGGGGCGGGGAGGTATTTTCTACATCCTGAGTTTTTTGCAGTAAATGATATGTTTTGCAGCTGTGTCTGGTGTGGGGTCTCCTGGGGTCGTGTTGAGTGCCCAGTGGGGATTTTTGGGGGAGAGAAAGGGAAAGAAAGGAGAGCTCAGGAAAAGAGCAAGCAGAGGCAAGTTAGAAACAGAAACCACTTTCAGCACTCCATCCTTGACCCATGGCAAGGTTTTTATTTCTTAAAGTTTCCCTATTACAAGTGTCAGGGAATCTGGGGACTCCAACCACAAGGTCGGCTGGAAGCTCGATTCATTTTTGTGTTGCCTGTTGGCGTTCAACCGCTGTTGTTTCATTTTGGGTCAGCCCTGAGGTGGTCAGAGCTGGGCTGTTGCGTTCTGTTCTGAGGAAGATGTAGAGCGCAATGTGGTTGCCCCTCAGCCTCTTTCTTTCCAATCCCCTCTCTGGACCGGGTGGTTCTGCTGGGTTTGATGCCCCCCCAGGGATGGGGTTTGCCCTCTCAGCTGACTCGCGTTGAGCCTGCTGCCCTGCCCCAGTACACCCAGATCCCTTTCTGCAGGGGGGCTGTCCAGCCGGTTCATCTTTGTGCCCGGCGTTACTCCCTCCCGGCTCCAGAATCCGGAGTTTTCCACTGGTTAAATTCCATCCCCTTAATCCCCGGGCAGGGAGATCGCAGCAGCCGTGGCGCGGAATATGCAAATCGCCTCGGTTTAGGCGTGAAAGGGGGGCGGGGCGAATGCAAATTGCCGTGCGCAGCACGCCCATCGCGTTGCGGCGGGGAAACGGCGAGGGGGCGTGGCGCATGGGAGCCGGAGGCGGGGATACGCAAATTTGGGCACCCACGGGCTCCAAAGGGCGGCCCGGGAGGCCCCGATGAGGAGAAGTCCGGGGGTCTCTCGGGGGTCGGTGGTCCGAAAATCCGGGCGAGAGATTGCGGGACAGTGCGGGGAAGGATCGGGGAGGGAGCGGGGCTGTCGGTGCGGGTCGGTGGATCGTGACCGTGAGTTGTGTGAGAGCGGGGGTCGGGGGTGGCGGGGTGGCGGAGGAGGGGTCGTTATCGCTTCTCGGCCTTTTGGCTAAGATCAAGTGTAGTATCTGTTCTTATCAGTTTAATATCTGATACGTCCTCGATGAGAGGACTTTATATTAAACGGATTTTTGGGCTCGGGAGTTGGACCCGGAGCTTGCTCCCTCCGCTCCGCGCATCGTCCCGGTATTGCAGTGCCTCCGGGAACGGTGCACCCCACCCCGTGGGGATTTAAATTGGTTAAAAA